TTTACTACATTAAAAGGGTGTCAAAATGAATTAAAATCTTATTAGTTACAAGCAGCAGATGCCACCTGGCTAATTACATTAATAGATCTGAGCCTATTGGTCTCCTAATTTGAGCATATTGGACTTGTTGGGAACCTTCACTGCATAGAAAAGCAGGTCAGGAATGTATAGCTTATTTAGTCCATCTCTCTGATCTGTGGGAGGAAGGGGAGAAAAAAACAGATCAGGACAGGACCACACATACTGATTATAATAGCAAACACGTGACAAAGACACTCTGCAAAGGTTGTAAATGTAGGCATTGGTTGCAAAGTTACTTTTACATTATTGCTGTAACTTTGAATGATTGCTGCTTGAGGCAGTCACTAAGTGAGATCTACCTGTAATAAAATAAAACCTTTCCTATAGTTCCATAAATATGGAATTGTTAGAGGCTTTCCAAATGATTCTTATCAAATACCCAATAAACTAGCAGCACTGCCTTCAATGCAGTATTGACACAGTTGTACAAATTAGCAACAGGTTGGAAATCTTGACTGCAATGAATTTCTACTATGAGTTTACAACAGATGTGATCAAAACCTAATGATACGTAGATGGAGCTGGACCAACTTAATTCTGAAATCTGCACAAGCCAAAGATAAACAAGGTTACGCTTAATGTCAGCTATTTGGAGTAAAACAATCTGTGAAGCAGCCCTTAAAGCAGTACTTTAAAGGAGAGAATGTTCACGGGGTCAAGATGGCAAGAAGGGGTCAAGACCAATAAGCTGTCAGTGAGGCAGTGAATCTGAAGGAAAAGTAAAATTGAGGTTATAAGAAATCCAATATCTAAAAGATACACTATCACAATATTCACAAACAAGATACAGTTTGTGAGAAGTTGTTCTCAACGCTGTCCAAAGTAAGTGAGCACAGTAAATAAACTGTCAGGCCTCTGTGCAGTGGAAAGCTGAGACTTATTAGACAGTAGCTGCAGAGACTGTTTTCCTTTTGGCACTCACTTTCTGTTAGCTAGCCTTCTAAACCTGCAAAGTTCAGCTCTCTGGTCCTTGCTTTTCATTGAGATCAAGGCCGAGGGCTAAGTGCATATGGAAAAGGGGTCCTGTGAACTTGTTGGATCTGTAAAAATCAGAGAAGTCACTATTTCCAGTGCTACTAGAATCTCGGGCAACAACACTGCTACAGTTTAATGCTTCTATCTTTACTTCCTGTTTCCCTCATCTGAAGACATGCCCCCTGGCAAGTCAATCATAATCAGTTTTGTTGACTGCATTTTCTATTTAATTTAGACTAATGACTATTTTATAGAAGATACCAGCAGCTTACTCCATTATACTTCCACTGCAACTCTTAATAATTAGCTTCATTACGTTAGAAGAGCCTTCAGAATCTTCTTCAAATGTGTCTCTTTGCATGAAATTCTTTCAACTAATGTGCAGGTCGGCATACATTCTCTCTACTATAAGAATCAGTTAGCATTGCATTAGATCCTAAAAGAGAGTAGTGAGTTGGTGGCTGGATATTCAGAATATAAAGACACATTACATAAAAAATCCACCATGCACACATTTTTTGTCAAATTATCAAGTACCATTTGTTGCTAAAATATTGCTTTACGTCATCTAATTGTGGTGAAGAACAAAACCAAAAGTTATATGATGTTTGTAATGAATCCATGAAGAGTTGGCTAAGTAGGCCTCTGCGGGATCCTAAGCCTTTCCCCCACAATTTATATTGCAACCTCCCACACTTCTAGGGACAGCCTGTTCGGTAAACTTCATCAACTACTCATGCCTAGGTGTTAAATTGCTACGAAATAAATGAAGTGATGACCTTCTTCACCTACTTTTCTTCCTTTATGTGGAGTAAGCAAGCAGGAAATCTTGTACTAAGGTTAAACACTTTTCAGAATAAAAGAACTCAAGTCTTTTATAGACAATAAGGTTAAGGGATTAGATAAAAGCTAAAAGAAAAAATAGACAGTGGCAGGGGTAGAGGAAAATAACAATTTTGTGATTGTTTCAGCGGCTCTTCCCCAATCAGATATATACACATAACAAATATAAGGACAATAATAACTAAGCATTTTTAATCAGCTCTGAAAAGAAAAGACACTAATTCTCCCTTAATTAATATAATAAAAGTATTAGAATTGAGTAGTGCAATGATATGTTAAATACTATCGAAAAAGCATTTACATAACTAAGCCTGTAATCCCACATATATATATAACATTCTTTTATAACTAATGGAATAGATAAAAACAATTTGGGTTGCGTGATATTTCTTACTGACCATTTTGATAATATGCTGCTGCAAAGTGTAATAAAACAAATATAGTAGATATGATTCTATTGCTACAACTCTTGTTGAAAGAGTTTCTTTCTTTTGTAGAATCTCAATACCACAGGTTTAAAGTGGTTGGTACAAGAGAATGAATCACAACCCTCATTGCCTACAACTAGAACACGCAGAAAGCTGTACTGTGGTTATGAGCATCAGGTTTTGTCCAAGATTGAACAAGAGGAAGAAGAATCTTTATTTGTTGCTCTACAGTGGCCCAAACCTCCTGAGAACAAAGTCCCCTTTGTAAGGAGTACTGACCCTTTACATAGCAACTTTATGATACTAAATAATCATGCAAATTTCAATGTTGGTGATCAGCTGGAGGTGCTTGTCCATATGAAGGATTATGAAGGAAACTCAAAGCAATATGGTGGCGACTACCTTCAGTCAAGAATTCATTCTGCAGATCTGAGAGCAGGAGCCATTGGAAGAACTGTAGATTATCAGAATGGATCATACAGAATTGTTTTCACTTTACTTTGGCCAGGGGAGGTCACAGTATCTGTGTCCTTGGTTCATCCTAGTGAAGGAATCCAACTCCTTCAACGTTTACAGGAAGAAAACCCAGACAGGGCCTATTTTAAAAGCTTATTCAAATCAGGAAGGATTTCAGAAGTTACTATATGCAATGTGTGTTTGCCTGGAGACATGCCAGTCTGTAACTTTACAGATAGCTATACTGGAGAACCATGGTTTTGTTATAAGCCAAGAAGACTCTCCTGTGCTACTAGAATCAACCATTTTAAAGGGGGATATAAAAAAGGCCTTTTAACTTCAGAAGAGAGTAACTTTTTTCAAAGGTACTTGCTTTCTTAGACTGTATGTTTAATGTTTGTTTTGTATAGATTAATGTTATTTTGGCTCTTTTCTTTTTAAAATGTGGGATGGTGAAAAACTCTTCTTGAATGCATTTTACTAGGCTGAAATTGACCTTTTAAATAAATGCCAAACAAACAAAACATCTATATAGTTCTGCTATAATCTTTTTAATTTGCTGAATAGTATAAGAGTGGGCATTTTAGTGCCACATTTATGGCTCATAATTTTCATCAACTATATTAACTTAGGGCTTGGTAGCAATAAAACCTGGCTCTTCAGATAATATTCAGGAACTTCTTTATAATAGGAACTTCACAGACACAACCCAGTTAAATAAAATGTTTTATTGTAAATAATAAGTTGGATATGCTCAAACGATGACTACCATACTGCAAAACACAGAGATATGCCCCATATCTGTACACTAGGGTTTAAATATTAAACCTTTTCCTTTTATTTTTTAATTCAGAAGACTTTGGACCTTTCATTTCTCATCCCTGACAGTCAGAAACATCTGCTTAATATTTAACTAATAGTACTGTTGGGCCTAAGCACCTCTGGTTTTCATTTTGCATGTTCAGTCTTTTTATTTTGTGTTACTAGGAAATTATTGGGTTTTCTCCCCAAATTGGTTAAAATGATCTATTTCTAAAAATCCAAATATTTTTGTATTTGAAACTAACTCTAACCACTATCCCTAGTTTTAAATAAATCTACCCAAGATGCTTTGTAGATACATATTTTCCTGCAGACATTTCTTTTTAATACAGTAGTGGCCAAAATTGTGGAAACCTTTTGGGAAAAGTATATTTTTCAGGTTTGATGGCTAATACCACCACTTTTTTTGGAGTAGTACCATAAAATTATATATCAATGGAAAGTTAATTTAATCAAGAATTTAATGCAACATAGTTTGTTCAATTATCTGTACTGTATTCTATGAAAAGTTATAGCCAAATAACCAGAAAAAGGAAGCACAACTTGCTTAGGTTGATATCAGGTAGCTTTCCTTCATCTGATTGAGCATGAGTGTTTAGAGAGCCAATCAGGTGTCATCTTATTTTGCAATGAGCCAATCATCACAGTAGGATTCAGTTATTGATGTCATGTATTGAAGCTGAGAGGAAGACATTTGTCAGTGTGTTATGTGATCGCTATCAAGTTGGTTGGGGTTTTTTTTTTCTTTCATTTAGTGAGCTTGTAAAACGTAATAAAATTAAAGTAATGGTGCAAAGAGTTGACTGGTTGCCCAGAAAGCGATGTAAAATAGTATTATTAAGAAAGATTGGTGGAAACTTAACCAAAAGTGGCATTTCTACTGTACACTTTTCCCAAAAGGTTTCCACAATTTTGGGCACTACTGTAATAATAACAAACATTTTTGCTCCTTTCAGGAATTTGTATTTTTAAATGTATCTTTCATGACTTTTTTGGCATTTTTTTTTTTTTTTGCTGTAAAAAGAAGCATTACCATGTTTCTCCAAAAATAAGACCTGGTCTTATTTTTTTTTATTTTTTGCCTCCAAAAGAGGCACCAGATCTTATTTTCGGAAGATGTCGTGCTCGTCAATCCGGAGCTTGGTTCTTTCCTGAAGGCCTCTGACAGTGAAATGGAGGCCAGGGGTGCTGTGTGCGTCAATCCGTAGTTCCATTCTCAGCTGCAGAGGCGTTTGCTGAAGGCCTCTGACCGTGAAATGGAGGCTAGGGACGATGTGCATGAGCGGTAGCAAGTGGCTGTAGAAGAAGTGGGCTGGCAAGGCAGGTATCAGCATGGGAGGCTCGGCTGCAACAGTAAACGGGGTGCAGGGTGCATGGGGTAGCTCCATCCCCCCACCCCACCCATAGCTTGATTTTTAGGCATGCGCCTCACCTATTTTGGGGATAGGGCTTATATTCGGGGAAACACAATATTAGTTGATGTTGTTGATGAGCCTTACAGTAATGTGAACAATAAATCATACTGGTAATATATTTAGCAAGGAAAAATACAGTGGAATGTAATTAAGTTAGATAAGTCCTCCTTTAATTCAATTTGCTTTGATATGATTTGTATTTTTCAACATGAACTTTGAATATGGAGTTTTCCAGTTATGATTAGTAAAGGCATTTCATGTAACTATTGCTGTCATCCAGGAAGAACTCTCTGTAGTCCTATTCATATTGAGAAGACTTAACCATCTCAGTGACAGAATGGTGTTCAAGTTAAAATGCAATCTGTTTTTAAATATGTAGTGGTAAACAAATGTGACTTTTTGTATTCATATTTTTTAAAAATATATATTTTCCCCTTAATTTAGTGGTGTAAATATAAAAATGCCAATACCTTCCGTCGGGCCTGATACCGTGATTGTAAGACCTTTGGGGCATGCAGGTAAAGTAAATGTTTGAAAGTTTTGTTTTATACTATTTCAACTTGTTCTTATGAACTGCAACCATCAACAGTGTTTCAGTATCGTATGAGAAACTGCTGAAGAGTTATGGAAAAGTTCTATTATTGTATTTAAATTATTTAAAAATATTACTTAATCATTATGTATTTAAGGAGGAGAAATTCTTCATGTTTTCTATCTTGCTTATTCTACTAAAGCCACAATCCTGTTGAAAAGGACAATTGGCAGGTCCTGGCCAATGTATGGCTATCCAATGTATGTGGATTTGCTCATGGACAATTAAAATTTATTTTTTCCTTCACAGCAGTCATATAGCAGTTGTGTGAACCCAGGGGAAGATTCCAACAGTGCTAACTATGCACCCTTGTGTTGGATATTATATCTGAATCATATTTATCCCTTTGAATTCAGGACCTTCCCATTAATGTGATAGTGTAGGGTACTATTATAATGCTTTTACTACAAATGGTTGAGAATGTAGTATATTTATAGATAAAATTGTTTGAATGTTAGAAGAGGCCCAGAATTGTTTTATTATGAATAGGCAGCAAAATAAATAAGTAAATAAATATGGATAAGATTTCAAAAAGTGCATTTTTAAAAATTGTGTTATACCATCTTTAAACATACCAAAGATGGCCAACTGAAAATAATTGAATTGTAATTAGCAATTAGATTAAACGTAAATAATGTTGCATTTATCATGTGTTGGGGTTTTGTTTGTTTTTTGCTAAAAGTCAGAGACTCATATTTTAGGTAGTGTATATTTTATGACTTACATTTATGAAGGAAAACATAAATTCATCTGGCATGTTGCTTTGAAAATGTATATTTAAAATATGTGTCTGTCAACTGGCTATCTGGCTTGCTTGCTTATTTATTTGTTTGTTTGTTGCAATCACAAGACTCACTGGAATTTTCCATATAGATCAACATGTATAATTTTAATGCATGCCTCTTTATTTCTATTCATTAATTCAAAATTTTCTCTTTCAGAAATGGACAGTCTAGAAAGATCTCACAGCTCTGATGTATTTCCTTCTGGTTATTATTATCAAGATGAATGGCAACAAAGGACTCAGTTGATTCGACATTTTAATAAGTCATCAGATATTACTGAATGTTTACAGGGAAAATTTATTTACTTGTTTGGAGACTCTACAATCAGACAGTGGTTTGAATATCTGACAGCATTTGTTCCAGGTATATTCAAATTGATTCCCTCTAAAAGAAATTCTCCCATAAATAATGTTGTTATAAGTGGTTTGGGAGTGGGTAACAGAAATGGGTATACAAAATATTCAATATAAACCTGAGACACTTTTATTAGGAATTCTTGAAAATAATGTTAGCAAAGAGGATATGTTTTTATTTACTCATGTGGTTACAGCGGCAAGAATTATATTCGCTCAAAATTGGAAAGCTATGGTGATACCTAGTAAGGAAAGCGTAATTCATAAAATTATGCATTGCGCAGAATTAGATAGGTTAACTAGAAGACTTAAAAATCAGGATGAAACGTTTTTTTACCAAATTTGGAACAAATTTTACAGATGGTGGGGGGAAAAGCAGGGAAGTTATTGTACTGAGATAATTCAAGATTGTGATTAGAGTGATGTTATTGTATAGGTTTTTCTCATTAGTAATTTATGGTAATAGTGAAATGAGATATATGTCAAATCTGTGTTACCATGTTCAATGTTTTTAATTTTTTGCTTTTCAATAAAATTTTTAAATATTTAAAAAAATAATAATAATAATGTTGTTATAAGAGCACAGTATTTTACCAGTGTTTATCATTTTGTTACCAATTTTGTTTGGTTGATATGCATGTTATTTTTTTTAATTTTGAGAGAAAAATTGAAATGAAATCCCAAACTTGATTTTTTCCAATATTTTTTTCACTATAAGAATATCCCATTATTAGACTATCTGGCACTACCAAGGGAAGTTAGTGATAATAGGAAACCTAAGTCTAAAGCTTTTATACCAAAACGTGGCCTTTTGCTTAATTTCAGAACCCCCTGACAAGAAATTAAAGTCTTGTCAAGAGAGCCCTGCCGTTTTGGGGCAGTTTGCTATGTGTGTGGAGCTGGGTAAGAAAGAAGGAAGTTGTAGTTGTGGCCCATCAACCTTTGACCGCTATCATTTAGCACGCAATCCCAAAAGTCTCACCCATGAGAAGAAAAGCTATCCCACATGCTCCAATGAAGAGAGCAGCTGTTCCACTGAATAAAAATGAAGGGGTCTCCAGTGAAGCTGACAGCAGATATAATAGGTGGATTTACAGTTCTTTGTAAAGAGTCTACTACATCCCAGCTGCCAAAATCCGGATGACTATTAAATGGCTGCAGGAAATAGGACAGTAGACCTTCGAAGGAAATTCTGCTGGCTGACTTCTCTATAGTAGAGCAGAACTGACAGCGAAGGGTAGACCGCTACACTACTGTTCATAAAAAAAATGCAGTGCATTTGAAGCAAAGAGGGGCTCAAGGAGAACTCCTTGAATTTGACAAGGGATATAAAGAATGGGCCAGTTCAGATGATTAAGACATTAAAGTTTTTTCTTCCAAAGGAGTATAGTTATTTTGGGGATTATATATTGTTATATTTTTTTCATTTCTTTGAAATGGTTAGTTGAATTTGCAAGGTTAAGCCTAGCATTTATTTGTTCTTTGGATGATTTTTCAGAAGGCATAATCCTAAGACTAAATCAGTTTTGTCTTACTAATACTTCTAGGTAGTGATAGAGTTATGGCATACAATGATATAGTAATTCTTTTTTTTTAAACAGATCTTGTGGAAATAAACCTGGGAAGTCCTAAGAAAGTTGGTCCTCTCATGGCTGTGGACTTAAGGCATAACATCTTACTAAATTTTCGTTGCCATGGCCCTCCCATTCGTTTTTTCACAGTTTTTAGCAGTGAGCTGCATTATATTGCCAATGAATTGAATCGTATTGTTGGTGGGAAGAACACTGTGATAGCCATAACTATTTGGTCTCACCTTAGCACTTTTCCTATAGAAGTGTACATCAGGAGATTGAGAAATATTCGCAGGGCAGTTGTTCGGCTATTGGATAGGAGCCCAAAAACTTATATAATTATCAAAACTGCCAATGTTCAAGAACTTGACCCAGAAGTTAGCCTTTTCAACAGTGACTGGTATTCCTATCAGCTTGACACAATAATGAGGAAGATGTTCTCAGGAATTGGGGTGTACTTTGTGGATGCTTGGGAGATGTCACTGGCTCACCATTTGCCACATAAATTACATCCACAAGATGTTATTGTCAAAAATCAGTTAGATGCTTTCTTGTCTTTTATATGCCCACTGGAAACACATTACAGTTTCTTAACTGGTATACATAATCAAATATGGTCTATATTGGTATAATTCAGCATTCTGCACTTGTAAATGAAACATTGCTGATTTATTGTCATAATTTGCATCTCATCTAATCAACTTGCACAATAGCATGCACATTTATATTTTTTGGTGGCAGGGATATTTCTGTATGTGTATTACGTTTCCACACACACACACAACCCTACCTTTTTATAATGCATGTATTTGTGTATTCAGTTTCTACGCCTCACTTATACAAAGTATTTTTTTTTTTACTAGGGCTAAGCACACCTCAGATATTATTGAGAAAAAGTGCTTTGGAACTTAGGTGAACACAGACCCTCTTCTGTGTTCATTAAAACAGCCATGTCTGCCATGCCAGAAAAATAGTGTTAATTAATCACCTCAAGAATAAAAGGGAACTTTCTGTTTTTCGTATAGGCCTCAGTTTCTTGTCTGATTACTAAAGAGGTAGAGCTAGAACAAAAACAAAAAATAACGGGCATTCTCTTAAAGGTTTTGGAAGAATTTTGGTAAGGACCAGATGCAATAAAGGCAGACATTAAAGTTATTTTTTCATCACTGTTGTAACTGTGAATAGTCTCTATGCAAGACAATCACTAAAGGAGGACTACCTGTATTAAAATCACAACAAAAAATTGTGACAAACAATAATGGCATCCAAAGATTAAGAAACACTGCAATATTTGTCCAATACTTTTACCTTTAAAGTTAACTTTAATCCTTTGCATAAGCTGTTTACATGCTTCTTTCTTTGAGGGTGGGACTTATTGGCCATTGTTTCTGTGTAAGATTTCATAAGTAGGAACCTTATCAGCCAAAAAGGAGCAATCATATTTGACCCATGCTATATTGTATTGTTCTTGATCCTAATTTTCATACCAAAAAATAAATAATGCTCTCAAAAATATGGGAATTAATTTTTGTTCCTCATTTTAAATACTCTAAAAATTCCAGATATCCAATTCGTGATTGTTTATTTTCAAGTCAGAGGAGTGCTAAAGATCCTCATAAATCAGACTAAAGCTTTCATATTGCAATGTGAAGGGCAGTCCTCAATTTACAACCATTCATTTAGTGAACGTTTGAAGTTACAGTGGCACTGAAAAAAGTGACTTGTGATCATTTTTCACACTTAACGACCGTTGCAGCATCCCCATGGTCATGTGATCAAAATTCAGAGGCTAGGCAACTGGCTCATATTTATGACTCTTGCAGTGTCCGGGAGTCATGTAATCATCTTTTGTGATCTTCTGACAGGTAAAGTCAATACTGAAGCCAAATTCACTTTACAACTGTGTTGCTACCTTAACAACTGCAGTGATTCACTTAAATTCACTTAAATCTAAAATGGGGCAAAACTCACTTAATAACTGTCTCGCTTAACAAGGGAAATTTTGGGCTTACTTGTGGTTGTAAATTGAGGACTACTTGTACAAGAACTTAACTTCCATGTTTCAATCTGTCACATCCCAAGCAATGACCTCTTGCTTTCCTGCCTTGTTTCACCATCTAATGGTTCATTTCTCTTGAACTGTCACATGGGAATCAATTTTAACTTTATTATGATATTAAAGCTGGAAACAATTTCCTCAACTTCTTCAAAAGACAGATACTCCAAGGCATAATATCTTTATAAGAAGGAGTTCACCTGACATGGGATTATTTTTCAGATTTCCATACAGGATATATTTCATCATTTTAATCATGTAGCATATTAAGAATGAGATAAATTATATTGCTGAGAAAGGATATTTTCTCCTGTCTTGCGAAAGCTATTTTGTTGCTTGCCCTTCATCCTCTTAAGTAAAAGGCATTTTTCATAATAATACTTGAAATTCTGCTTTATCTGCAGTGTTGGCAGATTATAATAATTCAAAGGCATTTCTCGTACATCAGGTAAGAAACACTCTTCCCCATCTCTCCCACAGGTAACTAGACCAGGTTTGAAGGTGATGGTCCTTCCTATTTTGGTGGCCATGTATGTCTGCATGAAAAATACTCATGTTAAAAATAATGGAGGTGGCTTTTAAGTGAGATTGTAGGCTTCCTCATCTGTTGCTACTTTGCAAAATAGAGACCTCAGTATCAAACTTGAGAATTAAAGGTTTCTAAGCTTGTTGTGTTGCATGATAACAGTTTTAAAAATACATTTCTCAGTGGTGAATATCTGCAATGTTTTATAGATATATGGAAACATTTAATATTTTTCCAGTAATAAAAAAAATTTAACTGAGTTTCTAACCATTGTGATTATTGCTATTAACATGCAGAAGTCTACTTAAATTTCCTGTAAACAATGGATTTTATGAGCCAACACTTGGCTATCTGATGACCTTACAGCAGTCATTAATGGCACATTTGTGTAAAACATTTTATCAATCAAAAATGTATATTATGTTTAATTTATTAAATAAATATTTCATTTTTACTTTACCCTGTCCCATGCTTTCTTCTCTTATTGCCATAGACTGCACTGAGATAGCATAGGACACAAATGACAATTGGCCAACGATCACTTTGTCATCTATATAACTGAGCAGGCCAATGAAATGGCATATTCTGCACTGTCTGATATTGTACTCATGAAATTATATTACTTTTAATAGTGGATGATATTTTTATCAATTGTCTCTTCAGAGCCACACAAATACACACAAATTGGTGTTTTCTCATCAAAACCAATGTACAGGTAATTCCCGAGTTACGAGTGTTCAAAGTTACATCATGAGCGCCCCCTAGTGCTTACGAGCAAGTCTGAAATTACAAATATTACAGCATCATAGCAGTCTTTTGCCCTTACGAGCGACTGCAGTGGTTCTGCAACATTCACCCTGGAATATGCCTCTGGAGCCTGGATCGGGCCACGGGGGGCATGCACAGAAGCGTTCCCCGGTCTCAGATCTGGGTGGCAGCAGCCTGGAAAAGGCCTCTGGAGCCCAAATTGGGCCGGGGGGGCGCAGAAACATTTCCTGTTCTTAGATCCGGGTGGCAGCAGCCTGGAAAATGCCTCCGGATCGGGCTATGGGGGGGCATGGAAGTGTTCCCTGGCCTCAGATCCGGGTGGCAGCGGCCTAGGAAAGGCCTCCGCAGCTCAGATCAGGCCATGTGGGGAAGTGTTCCCTGGCCTCAGATCCGGGCGGCAGCAGGAGATGGATCTTTTCCAGGTGAGTCTGGCCCGGCAGGAAGGGAGGGGGAAGCATGAGGTATCTTAGTGGGCCGGGGAGGCCTTGGGGATCTGTTCCATCACTAACCCTCCATGGCCTTCCCCACCCTGAGATACCTCATGTTCATTTAATGTGCTGTGCTTTCCTCATGGCCACGTGCATGGAACAGCTTTTGGTTATGGGTTACATAATACTGTTCTGCTGCTATTGCCCTAAGAAAAAATATTTTGGCCACAATTCTCTTTAATAATTTGTGAGAAAGATCAGGATTCCAGAGACTGAGCAGCTTCCCCATAAATTGGAAAACATCAATATGACAGAGGAGGAGGAGGAATAAGAAAAGGGAACCCTAGTTTATAGTGTCAACTAGCCCTACCTTTTTTGGGCTTGTCAGAGGCCAGCAGTCTCATTTTTTGCAGAGATGAAAATGAAAGTATCAATCGTATAACTTAAAACCCAATTGTATTAAAAATAAGGAAAACCAAAATGTTGACTTTGCATGGACAAATGCCCAAACAATCATAATTCTATGGACTGATAAAAATACAGTGTCTAAAACAAGTTTCCCATAAAATAATGCGAGGGGATCAATTGGATATGATCTGAGGTTCAAATAACTTACTGTAGATGCTATAAAACGATGGCGAACCTATGGCACAGGTGCCAGAGGTGGCACTCGGAGCCCTCTCTGTGAGCATACATGCTGTCGCCCCAATATGCCTCCCCCCGCAGCCCCCTCCTGCCTCCCCCCGCAGCCCCCTCCTCAGCAGCCCCCCCCCAGAGAGACCCCCGGGTGCGGCCCGGCCAGAGCAGCGCAGCCAAACACATGGCAGCTGGGCAACAGATGATGCTGCGGGGCGCGGGTGGAGGGCGTGGCCACCATGGCACTGCAGGGCCACTGGGGCGATCTGCGGCGGGTCATGGATGGCCCTGAGAGTGGGCAGGGTGAGGGTGGAGCAGGGCAGGGGTGGGCGGGCGGGGCGGGAGCAGCCTGGGGGCAGGGCGGTTTTTGGGCACTCGGTCTCTAAAAGGTTCGCCATCACTGCTATAAAACAAGAATTGAGTTTGTACAAAAGCAATAAAGCTCAAATACAAAGATCGGAGACAAATTCATTGCACAATTAACAGATAATTTCCAAATATCAGAATCCATAAAGGAGGCTTACAAACCTAAAATCCTGATTTAAGATCCTGACCTTGAACTTTTACTTTATCTCCAAGAGCAGAAATTTTGCAATCACCCCAGTTTTTTCTCCATCTAGCTGTTCTTTACTAATACGTGACTCACACAAATTACAACCTTCTGAAATTTTAAGAGCACTTCCCCTTAGCTCCTTTTGACATCTGGCTTGTGATTGACACCTCTCACTTCCAGCCTAGAGGCACTTTACTCTTCCAATGAGCCTAAAACAGAGATTCTCTAATTCTTTCCCAACTAAATCAGGCCTTCTTCTGTACTTGAAGATTTTCTTGGCTATGAGCTACATCCTCTTTACGTTCAAGTTTGAAAGAAGTTCATCTTCACTTCTGTTCCTGCTAAAGCATTGCTTAACTCTTTGATTTTGAAAGGTGATGTGGCTATTTCCAGTTTCCCTCTTGCTTATATCTTTTCAGCAATTTCTGTTTTCTCTTTTCCAAGTGTTATCCTCCCAACTATTATTACATATGGTTTTAAAAATGACTGATAGAGAGGTCCATTGTTAAAATGACATATACAGTAAATATGTCAAAATATGTATAAATACACATATTCAAAATTCAGCTACTGTGTAAATATTAAGTAAACATATTTGGAAACTTCACTTTCCCTTTGATTTCCAAGATACAGGTCGTTAGTATCCCAAACATTAAGTTATTTTTAAGTTTAACCCAGTTGCTGGAGGTGTTTTCCAGTAAAGATTCATCATAAACTGAAGAGCAAATTAAATACTTTGTCATTTTGTAATCAAGGGTTTGGCCCTGCAAACCTGATCACCTAATCTCATCCTGTGTAACACATGAGCATTTGAACAATCATAATTATTTCAAGTGGCATTTATCATATTTCATCATCCTTGTGCTCTATTTTGCTCATGCTTTAGTTCCCAACAGGGCTTTTTTTCTCATAGAACGCCTAGAACGGAGTTCCAGCACCTTTTTTGGATGGAATCTTGTAGGGTAGGCAAGGCGGGTTGTATGATATGTGTGAGTTCCGACACCTTTTTTTTTTTTTTTGAAAAAAAGCACTGGTTCCCAACAAAAATATCATTATCACACCCCATTATAGGGGTATGTCAACTTTTTTCAGTCAGGTCCAGTCAGTCAAAGTGAAATTTTTATAGTCATACCATTGCTTATATGCCATCAAGTTGCTTTTGAGTCCTAATGACCACAAATATAGATGTTCTCCAAGATCTATCCCTAACTTATTCTTTCAAGTCTCCCAACAATATACTCATTTGCCACTGAAATCGAACCCATCCAATTTGCTGCTAGTTATCCTCCTCTTATTCATTTTCTTCCCGCCTTTCCCAGAATTGGAGCCTTTTCCAGAGAGCTGGGTCTCTGCATAATGCGTCTGAAGTAGGATAATTTGACCCTAATTATTTGCCCTTCAAATGAAAACTCTGGTTGATTTGTTTGATGATCCATTGATTTGCTTTTTTGGTTGTCCATGGTGTTAGCAGTGTTCCAATATCTTAGGGGCTGCCACAAAGAAGAGGGAGTCAGGCTATTCTCCAAAGCGCCTGAAGGCAGGACAAGAAGCAACGGGTGGAAACTAACCAAAGAGAGAAGCAACCTAGAACTAAGGAGAAACTTCCTGAGAGTTAGAACAATTAACCAGTGGAACAACCTGCCTCCAGAAGCGGTGAATGCGCCAACACTGGAAGTTTTTAAGAAGAAACTGGACAGCC